GATTCCTCAGAAGTGCATGTCGACTATTCAGCAAGTGGGAATGCAACGTAGGCACTCATTAGTACTTACTAGTGATTAGATTCATGAAGAAATTGTCAGAGTTCCAGCAGGAAGTTCTGATCAATGAAGTTTAGGTGTAAGACAGTTAGTGACCTATCGAAGACACTAGATTAGCTTGTGTAGTATGTTACATTTAATAAATAATTTGAAAATCAGAAAGTATTATTTATATTCTATTTATGAAATTTCTCAGCACAGAATTACTAACCAACTTACTTATTTACGCCTGTTACCTCCCAATGGAGCATAGGGGCCAACCAGTATTCTCTAACCTACTACGTCATGGGCCTTCCTTTCTACTCCTGTCCAATGTTTGTTGATTCTTCTCATATCTTTCTCTATTTTTCGGCGCAGTGTGTTCCTTGGCCTTCCTCTTTTCCTTTTGTCTTGAGGGTTCAGTGTGAGGGCTTGTCTTGTGAAGCAGTTGGGTGCTTTTCTAAATGTATGTCCTATCCACTCCCAGCGATTCTTCCTGATTTCCTCCTCCGCTTCAGGAATCTAGTTTATTCTGTCCAAGAGTAGGTTGTTCCTGACAGTGTCTGACCAACGATTTCGAAGTATTTTGAGTCGACAACTGTTAATAAATACTTGTATCTTTTGGATGATAACTTATGTTGTTCGCCATGTTTCCGCCCCATACAGTAGAACCATCTTGAGATTTGTATTGAAAATCATCATTTCAGTGTTAGTTGATAGTTGCTTCCAGTTTCAGATATTCCTTAGTTGTAGAAATGAAGCCATTGCAATGGCTCAGGTGCATCCATTCTTTGTGTTCTTCCAAATCCCGACCTGAATTCCTCATGACCTTCATCTTTCGCTTGTCAAATTTATTTCGCTAGATTATACTCCTTTAATGAAATCTTCAAACTTTAATCTTCCCGATTACCTCTGCAATTATTGGATTTGAATTGATAATTGCACCTCTGTGCTATCGTGCTATGGCAACTTAAACTGATGTACGTACATAAGAATTTATACGTTGTTGCTAAATGACATGTTACATTAAGACTTTCGGTCTCCCATGCGAATGCTTAACCTCTAGACTACTCACTTGTTATTCAACAGTGTTATTGTTTGACTTCAGTCGATCCATTGTCTTTGATAGGTAACTATCCTACACCCAACACAGGTTGAATTCCACTGGTCACAGCTTCTCACAAGGACTCTGATAATTTTCTCAGGAAACTAGTCATTAGTGAGCATATACTAACGAAAACTAATGTCAAATTTTAAAACTGTCGTAAAATAACGTGTGTTGATTGAATCTAGACATTAACACTGCTGGATACCGCCTTAGTGGTCTAGAGGTTAAGTGTTTGCGTACTAGTCCGACTATCCTGGGTTCGATTTCAGTAAGCGGGGCTCGTGGACGAGTTCTGCCACTAATGAGTCCCGTACCAGGACGAAACGATTGTTCAACAATGGTGATCATATGAAACTCATTGATTTCTAGTTTTGATATTTATATCCTAGCATAGCTAATTTAATTACAAGTTTTTTCCAGCAATAAAGTCTAGGACGCGTAAATCATTCCTATTTGAACTCTTCAGGTCTATGTACGTAAATTCTAGTGTTGTGTTATTCCCATACTGAAATGAAAGATGAACTCATCTGATCAGTCATTTACTCACTTACTCAGGCCTACTACCCCTAATGAGAAGCATAGGTCGCTGACAACCTACGAAATACGTTTTTAGCAAGTTGGGTTTTTGCAGGATGTGGTCACTAACCTCATCATACCCAACCCTCCCCTTCATTATCTGGGCTTAGAATCGGTAGTAACCCCTCGTCAGAAGGGCTCCACGTTGAGTTATTTGACCAGTCCCAAAATACAGCATAGGTTGCTGGCAACCAGTGAATTATTTTATTTTGGTTAACGCTATTTTTTAGCGAGTTGGATCTCTCCTTGATGAGGTCACTTACCTTCCCCTTCATTATTCGCGCTTAGGATCAGTAGTAACCCCCGTCAGAAGGGCTCCACATTGAATTTTCTGATCAGTCATTAGCTTAGACGAAATCCACATGATTCACTCTCATTTACTTAGTCATGAACCACTACTGAGAAGACTGAGGCAGGCGCGGTAGATTGATTTATGCAAATTTACACTCTTAGTCAACTAAAAACGAAAACATTACATTGAACACTCTATTTGCACACCATCACTTTGAGTCGTGACTTCCAACGCCCCATTCTTCTTCCATTCCTGTTGTTGCTTCCTTTCCTTTCTGTTGGTACTCTATTTACTTCTTGCTTTTGCTCCATTTGCTTTCCGTTTTCCTCTTCTGACCATGAGACTTATTCTTTCACGTCCCCCTTCTTATACTACTTATATCGTTCGTATAAGTAGCACACACCACACTACTACTTCGACTGATAGATAATTACTCACTAATGAAATCTTATCTCATTAAAAATGACTGGCTCTTTGATTTATGATCAACAATTTGTTAAGATATGATTAAAAAAGTTAAGTTAAACTAGTTGAGAAATGATTTCACCAAAACAATGTCATAACAACACAGTTTAAACAGTACAGATAAACAAGGCCTTAGTAACACAAACACAAACAAAAAAAACTAGTTTATTTTATGGACAGTAAAAATATTTTCATGTTTTTTCCCAGAAAAAAAAACACATTACTCCACTCTATATACTGTAGCGCATTTATTTAAATCATCATGATGTCCAGTACACGTGAACATTGAATGTGTCAATATGTAGCGTACAGTTTTCGATTGGTATTTACCTATCCATGTGTACATATGTGTGTGTGTGTCGTTATGTAAGCCAATGTGTTGATTGAGTACACAAGCACAAACATTTAAAAAGGGAAAGATAAACAAATCGAACGAAAGAAACATCTGTTGTTTGAATTGAATCGAATTGGACATTGAATCGAATTGAACACTGAATAATTCAGTCGTGTTTTCTTATTTTTTTTTGATCACACGGAATAAATAAACAATTTAATTTGTTTTATTATTATTATTTAATTTAGATAATAAATTAAAATTTTTGAGAAAAAAATATGATAATCTTACTTTTTTTCCGGTATCTATGGATTTTTTATATTGATTCAATGTTCTATGTTTTTATTCTGTTGAAACCATGAACATGAAAATGATGAAAATTTGACAATAAAATAGACTACAATTGTTTTTTACGTTTCGATGTGGACCCCGTCAACAGTGTGTATGATTGTAGTGAAGGAGAACACCGGTGAAGGCAACCGAATTGTATTTAGCTAAAATTACAGTTACTTAGTAAAATAGGAAAACCATATCGTATACATCGTTAATTTGCATATCTTCAATCCATTATCAATCCATTGTCTGACATTTCGCTGTTGTTCATGCGTTTCATACAAATTTCATTGTGTTCCCACTCTTCTTCCTTTCTTGATCTTCCCCCATCTTCTGCTGCCAGACATTAAGTTTTTACTCGCGTAATATACTACTTATAAGTAGCGCGCACCACACAGTTACTGCATTATTTCATATTGCCAACTTTAATCGTAATCATCATTCATAACACTGAATAGTAATCGAAATATATTCTATGAAATGAAAATTGTCAGAATAAAATAAAACGTAGTCTACAAGTAACACATTCATGATATTAACTCAAAAAAAAAAGAGTTCTGGAATGTATTCCATGTTGGATTAAGCCATGTAGACTAATTTACCCAAGAATCTCATAAAGTCAGACAAAAGAATAGTTCAGTTTCTTGATAGTTTTTATTGGTCAGTCAGTTGTTATTTATTCGAAAAAGAAACTACTGTTTTACAATTCAGTAATACAGATCTCTCATCACTTTTTAACGTTTGTCAAGCCTCGCGGTCTGCGAGACGATAGTAATCGGTGGTTAGAAATCTTGAATGACATCATATCTGAAAATCGTTTGCAATCGCGCAGGTGCATACATTTTTTATGTTCTCTCAAATTCTAATCTTTTGAAATACTCATCACCTTTATCTTCCTCTTTTTAAATTTATTTCACTGAATTATATACTTCTTGAAACATATCCTCAAACCCTAATCTTCTCCGATTACCGCTTATACTTCTACTATCTCTACTACTATAGGATTTGAAATGACAATTGTGTCTCTGTGTACTTATTTGTCATGGTAACCTAAACTGTGATATACGTACGTCGGAAGTTCTACGTTGTAACTGATTGTTAAATCTCGTGTTTCAAAATTATTTAATACCCTTTCTATTTATCATTATAAGTTTGTGAAGATTGTTGAGTTTTATAGAAATCGCGAATCGATCAACGTTAGACCATCACTGAAAACTTGTAAGCATTGCATAGTTATTTTGTCTTTGTATGCGACTCAACAGTGGCAGAACACGTCTAGGACTTTCACTGTCACGCTAGAACCACTGAGTCGGCACTTAACAGTGTCAGTATCTAACTTGAATCAGTCCATGATACTTTGTCCAATTTTTATTTGTAACCATGAATCGATCAATGTTAGACCACCATTAGAAACCTGGAAGCACTGGGCGGCCGTTTCGTCCTGGTATGGGACTCATCAGCAGTGCGCATCCACGACTCCTGCACCTCACAGGATTCGAACCCAGGACCTTCGGTATTGTGCGCGAACGCCCTAACCGTTAGACCACTGAGCCGGTATCTAACGGTGTAAATGTCTAACTTCGTCCATTATCATTTATTGTCTTCCGTACGTAACTGTCTCACATCGGATATGGATTGAACTCCATTAGTCATGGCTTTTCCGTTTAACTAATATATTCCTCCTTCTTCATTCATACTGTTTATACTTCTCTTACTCACAATACTACTCTAACATTTTGTTTTCTGATGATATCAATTCTCATTGGATAGACACTTGATGCCGGAACGTAGATTGATGTACGTATACTCTTTACATACAGAATAATCAGTTCATTGTATTGATTTTTTTTTCACAGGCAATTCATAATTATCAAAATGATGAGGTGATAGTTAAACAAATGGAATCTTTCATCCATTCCATACATCATCAACCATATGATCAATTGAAATATTACAAAATTGATCAATCTTCAACATTGATCACATCAAATCAATTTGTGAATCATCCTCGATCAATGATCAATTCAGATAGGTGTGAAATGAATGCGGATTATGAACAAAATTTAATTGATACAAATGAATCATGGAATAGTGGTGGTTCAAATTGGAATAACAATAATAATGATAAAAATTATAATAATCATTTGTTACTACTTATTAGTAGTATAAAAAGAAATCAAATTGATTCATTCGAATGGGGTTGTCTACGATGTTTCATTTTATTGAATTCAAGTAAGTCAATGGTTTTAACGTTGTGTAGATGAGTGCTTGTTTGATTTTTTCTTTTAAAGTTTGTTGATATAAAAGAATTTTGATAGTTCTGTAATCACCTGTTATACTTTGCCGATCATTAATTACTTAGTTACACCTGTTACCCCCAACGGAGCACAAGCCGTGGACCAGTATTCGACAGCCGGCTCTCTTTTCCAGTCCTACCTAATCCCCATAAATTCGTTTCATGTGTCTCTAATTCTCGGCGAAATATGTTCTATGATCTTCCTCTTCTCATCTGGCCTTGAGAATTCCAAGTTAGGGCTTGCCTTGTGACGCAGTTGGGTGCTTTCCGCAATGCGTGTCCTATCCACT